TCATGGTGGGGAAATCCATCATAGCAGGGAAGACATGGCCACAAACATGAAAGGCATGGTAACAAGAGCTGAATACTGGCTGGTCACAGGGCATCTGTACTTAGGAGGCTGGGTATAGGGAAGTAAGGCCCAGCTACAAAGCCTCAAAGCCTACCCCTAGCGACTCATTTCCTCAAACAAGTTTCCGCCTCCTAAAGGTTCACAACCTTCCCAAATAAACACAATTAGCTGGGGACCAAGTGTTCAAACACATTTCCCATTCATATCACAGCACAAAGTATTTGAGATCATACATTCTTCCTTTCACTTTCTGAGCATAAAAGAATATGCCATCATGGGGGCGGGAGAGATGGCTCAGAAGTTAAGGGCACTGGCTGCTCTTGCAGAGGACCCAGGTTCAATTCCCAGCATCTACATGGCAGCTAACAACCATCCATAACTCCAGTTCTAACAGGTCTAAAGCCCTCTTCTGACCTCCATGGGCATTGCACAACATTGGTGCACTTACACACATACAGGCAATACACTCATACACATAAAATTTTAAAAAATTAATAAAATATTTTTAAAAAAGAATATGCTATCTTTATTCAGAATTTACCATGGAAAATAGACATTTTAACAGAATTTTCGCTGGACAAAGGACAAAACTATACTAGTAGGACACGTGGTTGCTTTGAACTTGAAGCCAACACACCAATCTACATTGTAACACTTGTCAACTTCAAGCAAACAAAATAAACACCTATCACCTCAAAAAAATCACAAACATATAAAGTCAACTAAAATAATACCTAATATCCCAAAATTGAGATACAAAAGATAATTTTGATCTATGTAGGTCAATGGGTTATTGGTAAAAAGAGTTACGCACCCCCACACACACATACCACACATGACTATGCATAATATCGCACATCAATGCTGTCAGGTAAAATAATTCATTGATAACTGGTTTTGCCTCACTAACCCCAAAAGTCCTTCTTGACAATCCAATTTCACCTTCATACCACTTCTTTGAGCAATCACGTATTCACACATATTTTACACATGAGGATATACTGGCTCTTGGAATTAAATTGTACAGGCAACGGAAAGCTTAAAGGATCATTTAACACAGGACTTTTATTTTTATATATGGCAAAACTGAAACCCAGGAAATTTACATGAGTTTTCCGAGGTCAAAAAATGGCAGATAAAAGACACCAGTGGCCCCGTTCCATGATCTTTATAGATCAGTTATAGAGTCTTCCAAGTACTATCTGAAAATGCGGTTCGTAATTTACATTTAAACACTTCAGCTCTGACCGTGTGATAGGAGTAAGTGTGCTTGTTAGTCTTAATCTACACTCCAGGGGCAGTTAGTTGCCCTAATCAAGAATTCACAGCTAACATTTAATCAAAATGCCACACAGCAAAGAGGACTAGAACAAGTCTTAGCTACTTTAAATCAACACGAGAAGGGCTGCTAATTATAATAGATGTTATTAATAAGCTTTCACTGGTAAAATTAATGAGCAGATACGTAATATAACGAATACTATAAATGGACTGCAATTAGTGAAGCCAGTGCTCTTCCTTATAAAATGTCTAGCAATGCCCCTCACCTCTTCACCATCATGATGAGCCCTTCATAAGGACGGCACCCAGGACTTCTGTCAGCATAAATACTATGTCCAGTCCTATTTCAGCTGATTCTGGTTGGTTTACACTACTGTAGAGTTAGCTCAATCCTGTATCTACTGAGGCATCAAACTCCAATGAACCCTTGATACAAAGTAAAGCTAGAACCCCTACAAAGAAGTGGGACCTCCTCTGTGCTGCATAGCTACAGTTGTCAGCTTGAACACCCGGAAAGAGGGAGCCTCAACTGAGGCATTTCCTCCATCAGATTGGCTATGTCAGTGAGGCATTTTTTTAATTGCTACTTGGGACAGGCCCAGTCCACTGTGAGTGGTACTATGCCTGTGCAGGTAGCCCTGGTCTGGAAGAAAGATAAGAAAGCAGGCTGAGCACAGGCCAGGGGAGCAAGTCAGTAAGCAGTGTTCCTCTGTGGTATGTGCTTCATTTCCTGCCTCCAGGTTCCTGCCCTGAGTTCCTGCCTTAGCTTCCCTCAAAGATTGACTGTGATTGGGATGTGTAAGCCAAATAAGCCCTTTCCTCCCCAAATTGACTTTGGTCAGAATGTTTTATCACAGAGACAGGAAAGTCAATTACCACATCTTCCTAAGATTATGGAACCATTCTCACGAACTGTTCCTGAACCTACTTAATACATGCTTTTTTAAAAAGCTGTGGAAGGGCTGGAGAGATGACTCAGAGGTTAAGAGCACTGGCTGCTCTTGCTGAGGACCTGGGTTTGATTCCCAGCACCCACATGATGGTTAACAGCCAACCATCACTCTAGTTCCAGATGCCCTCTTCTGGCCTCTGCAGGCATTGAATGACACAGGTACACTTACACACATGCAGACAAAACACTCATACACTTATAAATAAATAAAGATATATAAAATTTAAGTTGGAGAATACTGTCGTCCAGCATAATAGCCATTATCATCTTAATCAGAACACCTGTGATTACCTGCAAGAAACTCTCAAGATGGGATCAGTTGACATTGTTGCAGAAGGAGTGTTGGGGAGAATCATTAGACCTTCACCTGAGATTCCAGGGGCTCCCTTCTGTACCTCCCTCCAAGCTATGCTCTACCCCAGCTGCACCTGGTCTTAGAAGATGCTGAAGTATATAGAGGGTACAAGGTAAGGTAAGCTAAGGAGAGGACTCCATACTGGGGTAGGACTTTTTAGTGATGGAGCTGTTTTGTTCCTATAAGCAACTGCCCCAGTGATTCACCAAGCAAGACTTGAGTGGAATCATTACTTTGGTCTGTTGTTGGTATCATTATCTAGGGAATAGATATTGTTCATATCACCATAGGAAAAGTCCACACAACAGAAGTGTTTAGATGTGTGCAGGAATCTGGCTGAGAACTCATTTTAAATATAAAATAGCTATAGTAAAGTTATCAAGAAGTATCTACCACCACTTATCTCTGAGATTGGTGGCTACTCACATCTACTGCAAAGATTCTAATGATTATTAATTATGCATTGAATTATGTTACCTATAAATGCATATGTTGAAGTCCTAACACCCAAAACTTCAGAATGTGACTTCATTTGAATATAGGATCTTCACAGAGCTTATCAAGTTCTGATGAGGCCTTCAAGCCAGTATGACTGGTATCCTTATAAAAAAGGGAAACTTGAAGAAAATCAGAAACAAGGTGAACACCATATGAATGCAAGGCAGAGACGGGAATAATGTAATTGATTACAAACCAAGAAACAGGCTTCTAGCCTACCACCAGAAGCTGGGGGCTAGACTGTCTCACAGCCCTCAGAGGAGCATCTCTTACCAACATCTTGATCTTGAGCTTCCAGCACCTAAAACTGTGAGACACTAAGAGTCTACTGCTCAAACCACCCAGTTTGTGGCATTTTGTCTTTTTACAACATGCATAGAAAACTAAACCTATGGGCTTAGACCTGTAGGTAAAGAGGCTTCAATGACCGTTTGGACTGATGTGCAGGTTTACAAGAGTCATAAATGGTTATCAACTGTGTAAATTCCGCTCTATCTGGTTATGGTGCATGGTACTCCTATCTAAAACCTCCTTAATAGGCATGATAATGGAAAGACAAGGGTTGCACATGAGATCTGAATCACTGCCAATGCTCCAGAGAGACACCCGGAATCACAAAAAGGGGTGTTTCCTGTTGTAGTGGAACAGGGGAAGGGTAGAGCAAAGGCGACATGGAGTCTCTAGGGTGTTAGAAAGGACTCATTTAAGGCTTGGGCTGCAGTTGAAGCAAAGGGGCTGGGCTCGAGTTCGATGCCTTCAGGAAATGGGGGGTTCTATCAATGGGAACTTTAACTCTTATCTGAAAGTCAGAAGAGACAAGTGATGCTAAGACTGTAATTGGAAAAGAAGCAGCAGGCATCCACTGCATCCAGAGCAGGGGGTCGTCCAGGGGGGTTGTC